TTAATCATCTCCCCATTTTATCATTTCACATAAATTATAAAACCAACTAAGTTCCCTCCCTCTCTCCTTTCCTTCCTTCCTTCGTGTTAGAGAAAAATCAGAGTTTCATGCTCTGCCCAATCTGAATGAATTATGGCACATTGTCTCATAGTATTCCAGTTTCACTAAAATGTCTTATGTGCTAAATTTGCTCAGAGTTATGCAGTGGGATTGTTTATTAATCCATATGTTAATTTAATTTTTATTACCTAGCCTGCAATCCTATGTGCATATACCTCAAAAGAAAACCCCAAGGAAGTAAGTGATGCTTACTTCTTTAGAAATGTATGTAGAATTTCCCACTATAAGTGTAATTTTCATGCTATGTGCAATGAGTAAATGAACATTTTTGCTTAAAACACATAGCCAGGGGGAAAAGGGTTGCCCTGGTTTAGTTTGCAAATTTAAAAAAATGGAAATAATATTCAAGGATGGGTTTCTTTTCTTTTGTTTTACAGTAGTTGCCTGTTAAGGATTAAGCAGCCATGTGTGATTCAGTAGAAAGCTACATCACTTCTTGTGTCAGAGGAGAAATGTTTCCATATGATACAAACATGTGTTAAATGAGAACATTACTTCGCTACATGATTAGTTAATGGCAATGTTTCATATATATAACTTTATATGTTTTATATGTATAATTGCAGATTTTAGCTAACCTTCAACATAAAGTTGGAAGAATACTGTATTTCATAATTCTGATAGTTTCATTAATAGCTGTATCATCAGAAACAGGACTTCTGAATTCCACAAATGTGTGACAAGTTAACTTGATTTAGATATAAATCTAATTCTGTACATTTACAGCCCAAGCAGATAATCACTTGAGATCTAAAATATGTTTTGCTTTTTCAAAAACATTCAAGGAAATTTTACCATCGATCAAGAAAGTGTAGTTGGACATGAAAAAGTGAGCAGAATCTGTTTGAATATAGGCTCCAAATATTTTTTGAGAAATCTAGTACAAACTTGTAGCAAACATACTTGAACATTTCAGAATGTCCGCTCTCACATACAATGGCATATTATTATTATATTCACAATAATGTGAAATCACAGCTGCAAGTTATTTAGCTACTATTGACTTTTATATACATTGAGTTCTTCACAAGAACCAAGGATACAGAATAACAGAGATGGAAGGGATGTTTGAAGTTTTCTAGTCAACTCTGCACAAGCAGGAGATCCTATACCATTCTGGACAAATGCCTATCATAATGCATTGGTGTAGTATATGTGTGGCTCTATGCAGTGTGACCTTTTGTGTATTGACAGATGTCAATACACATATTTTCTAAATGCCATACAACATTTTTGGTATGGCAACCAGTGTGGCGAAAACCATTGGTACCACATGACTGGTTTATGCCATAGTATTTCAGTTTCATTTTACAATTCTTGATATTTTGTGATCTTCTCCAATTCTTTGCCTTCTCTTCTTTATCTCCTGGTATTGCCATATCAATCACCTACATTTCCAATCATCACACAGTGAGATCAGTGTTGCTCTTAGATCATTTCTGATCAGATGCAGAAGATCGTATCTTGTAAAAAGATGTAGAGAAACGTGTTTCCATTTATACTCTAAAATTTAAGCCAATTTAGTTTCATTTCTCCTTTTTGCCAAATAAAGAGTACGACTGGAAAAGACTTGCAAATTCTTGGACTGTGGTTATTTATCAATGGATTTAATCAGTGTTATATTTCCTCCCTTTTAAAAATCTGCAGTTGGCATATATAGTACTTCCTTCTTCCAATTTTCCTCTCAGCAACTTTGTAAGGTTATTTGGTAGCGAGAGAATGACTGGCCCCAATTCAACTTGTGAGCTTCTGTGGCTGAAAGTATTCTTTGTCTTTCTAGATTTAGTCCCAACATTTTAATCACTTCTGTAAAATGGGATTATATGTTATTCTCTCTCCAAAATAGTCTTGTTCCACTAACAAATGAGGAGCAGTTATTGTAAAACTAAAGAAACATATAAAATTATATATTTGGTGAATAGCATATACTATATAATGGCATTGGAAAACTGAAAATTGTTAAAACAAGGATTTACCAATTAAGTTTTATTTATTATCACATAAACAAATTGAAACATGAATGTTTACAGACAAACTACATGTATAATAGCCTTATGGTTAAGTAAAGCATTGTTGTGCATCCAGATGTGATTTTTTTTACTCCTCAGAGCATAGTGTTGCTAATGTTCCTTTATTGTTCTTATCTCTGACTAGTAACATCTGCCTCAGCATTTCCCTCCCGCATAATTTAAACATTACTTACAGTTTCTGACTAGTAATCAATGCACCATTAGTCTTTTAGATGATATTGTTCAGGAGCAGGTGGGCACAATCATTTGATAAACTCAGGGCTAAACCCAGTCCTTTCAAGGACCAAGATAAGTGATAACTTGTTGGTGTTGTTTAATTGCTTTTAAATTTGTAAACAACTGCCAATATTTTAGGCTACCTTATTCTTTCCCACAATGAAAATAGAAAAAAAAAAGATGTATAGCTGCCCTCCCCCAACAAAAATGACGATAAGAAGGTACATATTTAAAACTTTAAAAGATAATCTAATACTTATGGATTTCAAAATTGTGGAAAACTATTATAATTGCTAGCTGAGGTTTTCAACAATACTGAGTATGGATTCAGAATAACATATATTTTCCTTTGTAGATTCTTGCATTTTGAGGAGAGATTAATGTTCATTAAAGTTAAGCTTGGAGATATTAGATAGCTTTAAATATGTCCATGTATAAGGGCAAAGGTATGTGAACTAAAGATTTTTTAAAATGTATGTTAAAATATATAATGATCACATCTTCTCTGTGAGATATTGATAGTTAAAATATGTCTTATCTTCTGCATTCCATTTTATCTTATTTAAACAACAAATAGATAAATGTTCTTTAATTTAAAAACACTCCTTACATTCAGTCACTTCAGAAAGTACATTTAGGGCATATCTTTGTGGTAAAGTCTACAGCTGCCCAAGTGTGAGGATTCTCATTCATCAACTGTAACAAGTGACAAACAGATCCAACATTGGTATACCTGGATTAACATGAATGCACCAAAGCTCACTTGGCTAACTTCTGCTAACATTAGTTTTTATTTTTATTTTTAAATAAGTAAATGAGTAAATACATACTTTTTAATCTGTCATTCTTTTTTTGATAAACTAGAAATAACACAATAGGCATATAAGGACACACAAGGTCTAAGGGATTTATGGTTAAAAAGTGAAATAAAATAAAAGGTTTTGAATTTTTATTTAATGTATTTATTTAGATCCCCACCTTTATTATTTTTATAAATAAGACAAGACAGAAAACATACTCAACACACATTCTTCCTCTTATTTTCCCACAACAGCCCTGTTATGTGAGTTGGACTGAAACAGAGTTACTGGTCTAAAGTCACCCAATTAGTTTTCATGACTAAGGTCGGACTAGAATTAACCTTGTGCCTTAACCACTAGACCAAACCAACTCTTTATTCCAGCAACTGAAATGTACCCCTATCTAGAGTGAAATAAGTTTAAATTTCTGTGCCCTTTTCTCCTACTCTCATGGCATAACAGTTTTGGAACCAGTCCCAATGTAGAGGTCAATTTTTACATTTCCATTGTTTGGGTAACAGAGTTGTCTAATTTCAAGATATCTTTTGATATGGTGATATTTAATTTGCTGGGGTATAGCTAAGTGGTTTGGACCCTAACAAAATGTTTTCTGTTACCAACTTTTAGAAAGACAGCTCAGTTGCAAACTACAGAAATAACTTTCCTTTCTCCATCACTATCCCATATTTTGTGATTTGTTTCTGTGTTTTAACTCTATACCTGGCATTTTGAATTCATTCAAAGCATGGTATTCTCACATGGCTTCATACATAATTTGGAATGGATTCCTTCTCCTACCCCATATCCAACACCTTTACTTGAGAAGAAACAAAAATGTGTAAAATTGTAAACATCTACTTTGACAGAGCTCAGCTTTTGTTGACTATGTGTTAATGCCTGTGCAGGGTTGTTATTGTTGATAACAGCAAGACAGTGGTGTGTCAGTGCCTTCTGGAATGTTTTAGGCTTCCACAGACTTATTACCCTGGCATTTCTAGTTTTCTTCCAATTCAACTATTAACAAGGTTCTTCATTCTATTTCTTCCAAAACAGAAAAACATAATAGTAATAGTAAAACAAGAAATTACATTCATATGCAAGCTTCATCAGATCTGATATAAATATGAAAAGGACTTTATACAAACATATTCACGCTGCTTTAAAAACTTGCATGTATAGGACCCAACTAAAGAGCAGTTAAGACATAATCTGTGTTTTGAACACAAAATATTTAGCATGTCAATGAAGTAGGCTGGCTGAAAACCAAGAAATAGCAGTATGTGATTTGAATAACAATATTGGTAATTGGTAAGACCCACAAAGATCTAACAATGTCAAATCACAGATTTTACATCCCATTTAGACTGTGTTATTATCAAACAAGGATTATATATAGTAATTTAGTCTAAAAGAGAAATATTTTGCTTGATTTGATAAACTTAATGATGCCAGAACTGTATTAATTGTGGTCAAAAGTCACATCTAAAATAAACTAGTCATAGATTTATCAAATCAAACAAATCTGTTCTTATATAATAAAAAGAGAAAAGATGCATCCTTTGATATGTCTTTTTCCATATGTATTAATTCAGAAACTAGTAATTAATTTAAAAGTGTAAGTGGCTTTTATAGTTTCATTGAGAAATATGACACACTATTAATTTTTTTACTACTCCCCTCTTTCCATTTGATGTGGCCAAAACAAGAACAACAGATGGGTGATGCTTGTGGATGCAATATATCTGTATAATAAATTTAAACTTGATTATAAGTATTTAACTTTTGATATTTTTATACAGTTGTGAGGCTTACAAGTTTATATTTCTCTTTGCAGGTCAGGATCGCAGTGAAGCAACTTTAATAAAGAGGTTTAAAGGTGACGGTGTGAGATACAAAGCAAAACTCATTGGGATAGACGAAGTCTCTGCAGCACGAGGTGACAAGTTATGTCAAGATTCCATGATGAAATTAAAGGTGCTGTGAAAATACTTAAATACATATTTAAATGCTAATTATAATGTTTATATAAAATTATGTATGTAATCATGTGCGCATGTATGTGTAATTCTAATTTATATGACTTAACTTCGAAGCCACCTAAACATTGTTTGAAATAAAGATGTAAATCTTTTGGGACAAGGTCTTGAAGAGAATGATAGGATTTTTAACTCTTTGAAGTGGAACAGTTTCTTTACAATCCAATTTCAAATCTTGAAACAACATTGGAATGCTATGTATGTTTAGTAAATTATCTCTTTTTGGACATAAATAGAAGTTCCACCTTTTGGATTTGATATTTGATTTGGCATGCTTGATACCATCAAAAATGGCACCTTGCTTTACAGCTAAAATTTTACAATTTAGCTGTAGTAATAATGTTATGTGATATAATTTAGAAATTTAGGCTAATTATATTAGCTGTAGGAATTAAATTATGTGATATAATTTAGACATTTCTCCTTGATTCCATGCAATTTGTGTTTTGGAATGTACAATCTTTTGTATTAGCCCATCATGTATTTTATAGTCTCTCTCTGAAGCTGTAGGTGACATCTTTCTCAGTCAGGTAACACCATGCAAGTAAGATAGTCATATATTCATGTAATCATAGATGGTATGTTGATCCTAAATGGAGATAGATTAATAAACAGATAATTCTTAATCTCAAAATTATATGTTCATGTTATAGCTATTTCTTTCCATGACCCCGATGTTAATAATAAATAGATACACAGCCTGATTGACATTGAGCAACATGTTTGTCAAGCTTTCCAAATAACTTAAAGTACTCTTTGACTTATTTCTGATACATGAGGTTCAAACCTGTGTGGCTTTGTAGCTAATAATGTCACCTAATATCTTCCCTTGATTCATTACTTATAATAATTCCTTATAGACAAGATTAGACAATAGTACACCATGCTCCCAAAATGAATAATATACAGGTAGCCCTATCTTAACAATTATTTGTTTAGCAATTCTTTGAAGTTATGAGAGTGCCGAAGAGAGGTGGTATTCAGCAGATTCTGACCAGTTCTGGAGAACCAGTAGTAGAAATTTTGAGTAGTTCAGAGAACTAGTAAATACCATCTCTGACTGGCCTTCCCCCATCTGTTCTCTGCCTCCCGAGTTCCAGCTGATCAGGAGGAATGGGGATTTTGCAGTAACCTTTCCTTGGAGTGGGGTGGGAATGGAGATTTTACAGTATCCTTCCCCTTCCATGCCCACCAAGTCACGCCCACCAAGCCATGTCATACCCACCAAGCCACGCCCACAGAACCGGTAGTAACAATTTTTGAATCCCACCACTGGTGCCGAACAATGGTAATTACAGGCAGTCCTGAACGTTATGGCCGTTGCAACACACCCACAGTCTTGTGATCAAAATTCAGGCGTGAGTCCTTACAAAGGACAAGCAACTGTTTCAGCTGAACACATTTTGTTAGCAGCAGCAGTAAGAAGATGGTGACAGTCACCTATAGCTAGTGGGGTGGTACAATAAGCAGCAGCAACAGAGAACAGAAATGGATGTAAATCAATAGGTGGGGGGAACTGAAGCAGAGATAAGGAAGGCAGGGCAGGAGAATTGCGAGATCATTGCCTAACAATGCTGCAGTCCTGCAAGCTAATTGCCATTGCTATGTGGTTATGAAATGTTTTGCCTAATGACCATCTCACTTGACAGTAGAGATTCTAGTCCCAATTAGGAGCATTCAGTGATGACTACCGCTATTGTATTGTGTATAGATGGTGTAACAGGAATGTTATTGAATATGATTATAGCTTTCTTATGACTTGGTTTTGCAGCGTGTGTATGAAAGCTACATCTTTGCCTGAAAATTGGAGTAATGCCATCATTGTTTTTCTATACAAACAGAAAGGTAGCAGGAGTAAATGTCCAAGCTACAAGATTTGGCAGAAATCTGATTAGAAGGAATAAGTGAGGAGGCAATGAATAAATATAGGAAGTGCTATGTAGCTTGGGAAACCATGAGTTCTTGTTCTGCCTAAGGTATGTGATCAGCTGGGTGATTTAGACTAGTCATTCTTTCCCTAGGAAGATGACACTGGTAAGCCACTTCTAAAAATCTTGCCAAGAAAACATTTCTCGTTAATCACTATGAGTCCGGGTTGATCCAGTAGACCGTAACAACAAAAATGCTCATCTCATTCATCCCACTGACCTTCCTAACAATTGATTTGCGAGGCTATTGACTATCATTTTCATTTTACTATAGATACATAGAGCTAGGTGTGTGTGTGAGAGAGAGGGAGAGAGAGAGAGGGAGAGGGAGGGGGGAGGATATAAATATGTGAAATACCTAACTGAGCGAATTTTAAACAGATAGATATGTCATGAACTATTCTTGTTTTAAACAATATCAGATTCTGTGAATATTAATTTATATAAACAGAATAGATCAGAAATATGCACTCAGTAGTGGATGGATATTCCTATATGAACATATATTTACATAAGAAGAATTATGTTAGATCAGGTCAGAGGACAGAGGTCAAAAACAGACCATGCCAAACAAATCTTATTACATTTTTTTGACAAAATAGCTAAATTAGTGTAGTGAAATGCAATGGACATAATATACTTGGATTTCAGTAAGGCATTTGACAAAATAGATCACAACTTACTTCTTGATAAGCTTGAAAAAATGTGGGATGGACAGCATCACTACCATATGGATTTGTAACTGGCTGACAAGTCCCATTCAATTTGTAGTCCTTAAAGGAACTACATCTACATGGAAGGAAGCAGTGGACTACCCCAAGGTTCCATTTTAGGCCCAGTACTCTTCAACGTCTTCCTAAATGATTTAGATGAGAGAATTAATCAAATTTCATATTATACTAAACTGGCAGGAATAGCCAACATCCCAGAAGATAGGCTCAAGATCCAGATGGATCTTGACAGACTTTACACTGGGACCTATCTAACAAAATGAAATTCAGTGTAGAGAAAAGTGAAGTTTTACACTTGGGCAAGAGACTGCAGTTAGTTCAGAATGCGGCCGCGCAGGCAATATTGGGTGTGCCGAGGTATACCCACGTTACACCTATCCTCCGTAAGTTGCACTGGCTACCTATTGGTCTCCGGACTCAATTCAAGGTGTTGGTTATTACCTTTAAAGCCATACATGGTTTAGGGCCAGAATACCTTCGAGACCGCCTGCTGACACATACCTCCCAGCGGCCAGTAAAATCCCATAAATTGGGCCTCCTTCAGATGCCTTTGGCCAAACAATGTCGGCTGGCAGGCCCTTGGAGGAGAGCCTTCTCGGTGGCTGCTCCAACTCTTTGGAACCAGCTCCCCCCAGAAATCCGGACCATACCCACTCTGATGGCTTTCAGGAAAGCCGTAAAAACTTGGCAGGCCTGGGACTGTTGACCTCACTGTTGAGGTCCGGCCCTGACTAGAATGAATGTATGAGGGGTGTCTGTTGTTTTAAATTGTTTTGTCGTTATGTGCTTTTTATATTTCTTGTAAGCTGCACGGAGTCCTTTGGAATTGGGCGGCATATAAAAATTC